CCGGAAAGACCACTTTCTACTTTCCTTCATTGATCAGATACTAGACAGATTGGCAGGTAGGTCTCACTTCTATTTTTTGGATGGGTACTCAGGGTACAATCAAATCTCTATTGCACCCGAGGATAGAGAGAAGACCTTCTTCACTTGCCCATATGACATTTATGCTTTTCGGAGGATGCCCTTTGGCCTAGGCAATGCACCCGCCATATTCCAAAGGTGCATGATGGCCATATTCACTAACATGGTCGAGGACATAATGGAGGTGTTCATGGATGATTTCTCAGTGGTGGGAAACTCATTCGATGAGTGCCTTATAAATTTAACCCATGTGCTGAAAAGATGTATTGAAACTAACCTGGTACTTAATTGGGAGAAGTGTTATTTCATGGTACAAGAGGGCATAGTCTTGGGACACCGGGTGTCAAGCAAGGGAATCGAGGTGGATTGTACTAAAGTTGATGTGATAGCAGAGCTGCCACCTCCCACTTCAGTCAAGGCAATCAGTAGCTTCCTCGGGCATGCCGGTTTCTACCGGATATTCATAAGAGACTTCTCAAAAATTGCCAATCCTCTCTGTAAGTTGTTAGAAAAAGATCACCCTTTCTTGTTTTCTGATGATTGTAGGGTAGCATTCGAGGAGTTGAAAAAAAGGCTAGTTACAACACCCATCATTGTTGCCCCCGACTGGGAGCAACCATTCGAACTCATGTGTGACGCCAGTGACTATGCAGTGGGGTAGTGCTGGGACAGCGGAAATACAAGCGAATGCACCCAATCTACTATGCCAGTAGAACACTGAGTGGTGCCCAACTAAACTACACTGTGACGGAAAAGGAGATGCTGGTTGTGGTGTTTGTATTCGACAAGTTCAGATTATACCTGATTGGCTCTAAGGTAATTGTATATACTGATCATGCAGCTCTCAGGTACTTGATTGAGAAGAAGGATTCTAAACTACACCTGATCCATTGGGTGCTGTTACTACAAGAGTTCGACCTCGAAATTCGTGACTATAAGGGTACAGAAAACCAAGTCGCTGATCATCTATCACGACTTGAGGGAGCTGAAAACTCAGTTGAGGTTGAGGATATTCTGGAACCTTTCCAGACAAGCAGCTGCTCCCTACAAGCCTTGAGGAAGTGCCCTGGTATGCAGACTTTGCAAATTACCTGGCAAGCAGTGTAGTTCCCTATAACCTCTCCTCTGTACAAAAGAAAAAGTTTTATTGTGACTGTCGCATATATTATTGGGATGCACCTTATATGTTTCGAATATGTGTTGACAACATGATCCGAAGGTGTGTCCCCGAGATAGAACAATCTTCTATTTTGCAGGCATGTCATGCATCGGCGTATGGAGGGCATTTTGGAGGAGTCAGGACGGTCGTGAAAGCGCTAGAGGTCGGGTTCTTCTGGCCAACAGTATTTAAGGATGCACATCACTAGGTGAAGGGATGTAATGAATGTTAGCAAACTGGGAACATTTCATGTCACCATGAGATGCCCATGAACCCAATTCAAGAGGTTGAAGTGTTCGATGTCTGGGGGATTGACTTCATGGGCCCCTTTGTCGGCTCCTTTGGTAATAAGTACATACTTGTTGTTGTAGATTAAGTGTCCAAAGGGGTAGAAACTGCAGCATTTCCAACCAATGATGCAAGAGTGGTGGTGGGATTTTTGAAGAAGAATATATTCACCCGTTTTGGGACCCCGAGAGCTATTATCAGTGATGAAGGCACTCACTTCTGCAATCGAACCTTCGAGAAGTTGCTAGTGAAGTATGACGTGCACCACAAGGTGGCAACCCTATATCATCCTCAGACCAGTGGACAGGTTGAAGTGTCAAATAGAGAGATAAAGAGTGTGCTAACCAAGACTGTGAACACCACAAGAACTGATTGGGCGAAAAAGCTAGATGATGCACTCTGGCCTATAGAACTACTTTTAAAACACTGATTGGTATGTCACCATATAAGTTGGTTTCAGGGAAGGCATTCCACTTGCCAGTGGAACTTGAACATAGATCTTGGTGGGTACTGAAACAACTGAATCTAGACATCGAGGCTGCGGGCACAACGAGAATCACAGAATTGCATGAGCTCGACGAGTTCAGATATCTTGCTTTTGAGAGCACAAGGTTGTACAATGAAAGAATGAAGAGGTTGCACGACAAGAACATTGTGGAGCAAAATTTCAACCCCGCGGACATGGTATTGCTCTATAACTCAAGATTAGGCTATTTTCGGGTAAGCTCAAGTCACGCTGGTCTGGACCATTTCAAGTGGTCGAAGTATTCCCTTCAGGGGCTATAGAGATTGCCGCAGAGAAAGACTCTCATACATTTAGAGTCAATGGGCAGAGATTGAAACTATATGCGGGCATGAATGAACCAAAGGAAGTGACAGAGCTCCACCTGACTGAACCTCAGAGGTCGAGCGAACCTTAAATGTGCTTATCTGCATCGTGCCGCGACGTTAAACCAGGCGCTGCATGGGAGGCAACCCATGAATGTTGTTGTTTTTCTTTTCTTTTGTAACTCCCTTACAAAAAATATTCGTGTGACCGCGACCGCGGTAAATGAAGAGTATTCTGTCTCAGGCATTCGTGATCCATCGCGACTACGGTGGGACCGCGACATGACCTCGATAAAATGTAAGTATTCTATCTCTCGCTCATTCATTCACCGCGGCCGCGGTGGGACTGCAGTCGACCGCAGTGATTTGTGATTTTTCGTCGCCCAAGTAAGTTAGATTTCAATTTTTTTATTTTT